TATATATATATATATATATATGTGGGCCTTTAAGGGGCGTGGCCTAGTGAATGACATCAGGAGCTGGAGTCAGGTTGGCCAGTTAGCATGCGCTTGAGAGTCTGGACATGAGTTTTGGCTGACAGCAGCTCCTTCCGAGTGTTCTCATTTTGTCTTTGTGTGTTTGACTTTCTAGTTCCGTTCAGTAAACAGCTGAAAGTGACTGTGACTATAGTTAGTCCATGGGAATTTTTACACGAGCATACATGCTCCATAAATACAAAGCAAAAATCAACCAAAATTCCAAAGTTGGGTCATCATAAATACGGACGATTAATTGGGTAGCTTTTTTTAAATCGGCAAAAAAAAAAACAGCTGATTCTTTGCCATACTTTGTCATACAAAGACACATTACAGCGTAAGCCAAAAAATGAACCCATAAACAAAAAAGCAGCAAAAAAAATCTTTCTCTCTGTTGTAAAGTTAAACAAATACTAAAGAACAAATTAATGTAACAATCAAATGCTCTGCCTGCATTAAAAAAGTTATTTTATTCACTTTATATATTTTTGTAAATCAAGCTGCAGATTACTCCATTATTGGAATTTTATTCTGCCAAAATACTGTCGTGGAGTCGGGCCCTACTAGTCAAGGTACAACTGCACAGAGTTTCCTTGGATGATTATCTCTTTGACTCACATCCATACCTGTGTCATTTACATGGTTTTTCAACCACATGGACCCATTTTACCTGTTTTTTTTTTACATTTTGCAGAGTACAGAATTTGAATGTACCATAAGACCTTTAGCATTGCATCACCACCATGTTGATTTAAAAGGCAGAGTCCACGTGTTTGCCCCAAAAACACTTTGGTTCAGCCCTGAGAAAAGTTTACCTGCAGACAGAAAACAAACAGGACAGTGTGGATGAGAGCGGAGCAAAGTGGATGGCCTCTGTGCACTCATTTGTGTGTGTTTTTGTGTTCAGGGCCAGAAGCATGACTGAGCAGCAGGAGCACTCCGAAGAAACAGGTCTATTGTCTACACAGGACCTGGACGCCTCCAAGGATGAAGATGCGCATGGACACCTCAGGCAATTTTCTATCACGCGTGCGCGCACACACATGCAAAATGGTCTACAAACGCAAACACATTTTCCAACACACCATCTGCATCCTGTGTGTGTGTGTGTGTGTATGCGCGCGCGCATGCTCACGGGCTCCAGCTGCAGCAGATTTCTTTTCAATGTGCTTATTTTGGAGGTCTAGGTGATGTCGAACAGTGGTAACACCCGCACACAAACGTCTTTATAAGCACTACAGTATCTCATTGAGGTGATAGAGACTCACCAGCTATAGCATTAATGTAAGGTCCCTCTGCAAATTGTAACCTTTATGCAAGATAATAATGTTCATTTTGATTGACACAATTTCAGATCTTTTTTTTTAACACCATGTTTATGACCGTGGCTGGAGTCTGCAGTGGTTTAGTACTGCATTCATTCACTTCGACTGAGAGCTGTTGCTGATGTTCTCGTTTTGCTTATTTTTAATTCTTTTTTTTCCCCCCATTCAAAGTTGGTGCAATTTACAGCAGCAGACATTACCATCTATGCCAAAACCAGCGGGCAATTGGTGCATTCATTCACTTCGACTGAGAGCTGTTGCTGATATTGTCGTTTTGCTTATTTTTAATTCTTTTTTTTCCCCCATTCAAAGTTGGTGCAATTTAAAGCAGCAGACATTACCATCTATGCCAAAACCAGCGGGCAATTGGGCCTTCAACAAAGAAAGCTCAGCCAAAATGGCGGCCCTGAATATGTAAATGTTGGGAAGAAGTTTGTAAAAGCTCATTAGCATGAAATATAGTAAACTTACTTAGCCTTGTCTTGAGGATCAAGCACACACACCTTCGCCAAACTGTTCTGATACTCATATCTATAAATTCTTAAGGTGCATTTCATGACAATTGGCAAGACAAAACAGTGCTTGCCCACAGCACTCATTTCATAATATGTGGCTTCATTAATTTACCAATGTATTGAAACAGCTCTCAGTATGTCAATTTAATAGCTCTATAAACTGCACTATTTTCTGGATTTTGAATATTGGCATTGAATGACCCTAGCAGTTGGAACAAACAAATATCTGCTAAATGTATGGTTGCATTATGTAAATATTGCGTGCGCTGCTTTGCCAGTAAAATGATCTGAAAGCAAGTGATCATGTTGGTGTGTGTAACGACAGGGTGGCTGTTTGTGTTATATAAGAAGGATTGCAGGCAGGAGCCATGTAATCCTGCCGAAGCTACTCTGGGATTGAGCGCAAAAGCATGTCGTGTGTTGGACTCAAGTGAAAGGGAGGAATATGAACACTTCCTGTTTACCTGCTGCCAGACACAGTCACTATGTTTTTATGCGTTCAAGAAAACCAAGCCACAGTAGTGCATTAAATCGATGGATGGATGGATGGATGGATGGAACGTTATGGGGGTAGGGAGTGCCTCTCTCTCTCTCTCTCTCTCTCTCTCTCTCTCTCTCTCTCTCTCTCTCTCTCTCTCTCTATCTCTATCGAGTGAGAGCTCGGACTGCTCCCACATCCCCTGCCCAAAATATTTTATTTATTTATTTATGTATGTTTTTATTTTGGGGGGGGTACAAGTTCTGCTGTATTTGGTCTTGATTTTTGTCAAATAAATTTCCCCCCCAGGTGGGACTTATACTTTGGAGCGACTAATTTATGAATTTTGTATTTTTTTTAAATTTTTATTTTACAAGGTGCATTTTTTTACTCATCTGCGTTTTTTAAGTGTTTATTTATTCAAACATTTTTTAGTTATGATTTTAAAGCAATCTGCTGTGTGCTGCTGACCATCTGAATTTCCTGTATGGCAATCTTTAAAGGACGGCTTCATTAATTTTACATGTGCGGCTTGACTGGACGTAATTAATTAGTTTAGGTTGTAAAATGGCATAAAAGCTAGAAAATACTCGTATGTTGATTAATTTCCCTTTTATGACAACATTTTCAACACACAGATACTGTATGTCCATGTTGGGTGCAATGAAACGTAATGTGTGCAATTTCCTGTTGGAAAATAGAAACAAATTGGGCAACGAGGAGGACACAAAGAAAAGCAATGTCAAAATGCATAGCAAAATTTTTCCAAGAGGCCGACTCGAAACAGCGAACAAGGTGCACACTGGCATGTTATTCCACAATTTCAAGTGTACTTGAGCAAGTTTTGTTAAACCCCAAGAGGAGAGATAGTCATGCACACATGTGCAGTGAACATTTCAGCAGAAAAGGAGTCATTTATACTTTGAGATGAGACACACCAGGCAGGTGACATTAAAAACCAACACCATGCAGAGTATTTTCAACAAGCAAGCAGTAGATGTGCTTAATTTGCCGTTGAATTGCAGATGAAACAAATTTTGAATGAGAATAATAATGATAACAATAACAAAAGATATATCGCAAGAGCACTGATCGCAAGCTGCAATTGCAGACTGATGACCGCTAACAACTTCCGGTGATCCAGATCACCCGCCGCCGTAGGTTAAAGGTGACCTGCTTTTTTTATTTTTTCTTTTTTTAACTACTTTTTGGTGAAAGTGAAACAGCTAGGGTGCAATGTGCACTGACACAAAAATATACAATATTAATAACACGCACACAGTCCCATTTCCCTCACCACCCCTCGCAATCGATTTGGGACCAGTCTGCAGACGACCGGTCAATCGCGATCGACTGGTTGGGCACACCTGGCTCTAGTCCATCATTCACACATGTGACAGTTATCTAGTGACATGTTTAATCAAGTTATTCAATATACATGAAATAATGTTATCAAATGACTTGTGGACAAAATATTAACTTTTTTATTGCTTCAAATGGTGTTCATAGAGAATCTTCACAATGTTGATAATTTTTGCACAAGTTCCTATGAAATGCTCCATGAATCTATCCGTGTTATTAAGACGTCTGAAAAACATCGTTGGTGGAATAATGATGTGATTGTTGACTATTACTGTTAGTATAGAGTATGTGATTACCCAGCGTCATTGGTTTTGTGGTGGAGTATTTCTGTTGCATTGTTCCTTCCTGCTTGAGGCTGGAGCTGCAACCTTTGGTCTGTCTTTATGTACTTCGCAGGTGATTGGTGAGAGTGTATAAAATGGCGTGCTAAGACTGTTCTTCCTCTTCGTCCGGCCCTCCTCTTAACTGCACCGTGCGTCTTGGTTCTGTGTCAATGCAATCGTTTTGCCTGTGAGCGCAGCTTAGAACCATGTTGAACAAAAGTGTATGTTTGGGGCCTAATAAAGTACAGTCGTCCATATCTGGTCCAGCCCAGTTTTGGCCGTGTCAACTCTGAGCGTCATGCTATGGAAAGTTTTTCTTTGGACTGCCCTTAGTAGCCTTGGTCATCCTTGGCAACGGGGAAAGAAGGTACGACATTCATGCTATGTGGTGGTTCCCTTGGCCAGTCGTAACACGACAAATATCATCTTATGTACGGTAATCAAATAAGTCTAACATTTTATCATGACTTTTTAATCGTAAAATGTATTTGCATTCTGGGCATAAAATACGCTACCGCATAGGATTCTCAAGATCAGGAACCGTGAGTGAAAAGGAAAACCATTTCTGACAACACAAACTCCTCTTGTGACTAGTTCAAATACACTGAGCGCAAGCACTAACCTCTTCACATTATGTACCAGTCGCTTTTCGATGATTCATCCATTGATCTGTTTTCTATACACGGGTAAGCTGGAGCCTATCCTAGCTGACTTAAGGCAAAAGGTGGAGTATCCCCTAGACTGGTCTGGAGGCCAGCAAATTGCACGAGGTTATTTCATGATTCAGCAGCACATTGTTATTCTCACTAAGCAGTGTCCCTGACTATATTCTGCCACTCTCCCCTTTGTGTGTTGATTCTTCCCGTATTGTGCTGCTGGAGGGGTGCATGCAGAAGCCTCCACGTGGCGCATCCCGGGCAATGCTAAAGACAGAAACTGTACAACAGTGACTGACTTGAAGTAGCCAATTCTGCAACCACCGACCGTCAACGACAGTCAAGTTTTTCCTAGCCACGATGTGGCACGGCAAGCAATACTCCGGCAATGAGTTGACAGCCGGAGCGCCTACATAAAGCAGGTGTAATCACAAACAAATGCGCAACAGGTGTGCAGGTGGCAGAGTGAGTGCCTGCCACCTGCTGTCGAATACGGGACGTGACACAAACTCCTCTTGTGACTAGTTCAAATACACTGAGCGCAAGCACTAACCTCTTCACATTATGTACCAGTCGCTTTTCGATGATTCATCCATTGATCTGTTTTCTATACACGGGTAAGCTGGAGCCTATCCTAGCTGACTTAAGGCAAAAGGTGGAGTATCCCCTAGACTGGTCTGGAGGCCAGCAAATTGCACGAGGTTATTTCATGATTCAGCAGCACATTGTTATTCTCACTAAGCAGTGTCCCTGACTATATTCTGCCACTCTCCCCTTTGTGTGTTGATTCTTCCCGTATTGTGCTGCTGGAGGGGTGCATGCAGAAGCCTCCACGCGGGATATCCCGGGCAATGCTAAAGACAGAAACTGTACAACAGTGGTGCTGCTGGATCTGAATGGAGAGAAACCAGATGTCCTGATTAGGATATCTGAGAAAAAAACAAAGCTTGATTGACGTGATGTGACATGTGACGTACAACTTCAGACAGAACATCCTTCGGGATGAAGAGTTTTGTCCAGTTATTCATGTGTGATTCTCTCCTTTAAATACTTAATCAGTTAATACATATACTGATCAATTAAATCCACAGTCAATGAATCAAAGTTAGTAAAATGGCCATCATGAGTTTCAATGCTAAAATGCATATCCTAAAAACATGGAATATGGTTAAAATGCCAGCAAAATTATACTGAAGAAAATATAAATGCAACAAATGCTCCCATTTTAATGAGCCCAACTCAAAGATGGACCACATTTTCAATGTGCACAAAAGGCCTCTTCATTGCTCACAAATCTGTCCAAATCTTTGGAAGCTCTTTTCCTTTGCCGAGTTAAAGCATCCCCCACACGGC